GGGATCGGGCAGTGTTTCGTTCTGCTGTGCATGGTGTTGCTATGAGTTGGAAATGACTCGACGGCACTTAACAACAACAACAACAATAAACACATGTCCCCAGAACCTCAGAATGTAACCTTATTTGGAATAAGTGTAGATATAAGTTAGACTTCAAGATAAGATAATCCTAGATTTAGGGTGGGCCCTAAATCCAGAGAGTGGTGTCTTTTGTAAGAGAAAGGAGAAGGAGATTTGGTATAGGAGGGAAAGGCCATGTGAAGACAGAGCCAAAGACTGGAATGAAGCTAGGAAAGAGGCACAGAATAGATTTTCTTTCAGACTTCCAGAAAAAATTAACCTTACCAACATCTTGATTTTGGATTTCTGGTCTCCATAACTATGAGAAAATTAACTTCTGCTGTTTAAGCATTTAAATTATAGTAATTTGTTATGGCAGCCCTAGGAAACTAATAGAACCTCTTACTGCAAAAGTAATCAAAATTAGCCCCAGTAAGATATACAGTTAGGGAGACAGTGAGAGAATTTGATAATGTTGCAGAAGTTACACTTGTATCTAAAACAAAGATTGCATTGTGAGGCTGAAGGGAGATCAGGGCTGCTTTAATTAAACAGGGATATAAACCTTAAGGGAATAGAGATGGTTAGTACTGACATGGGATCATTCGTGTCCCCATGGTATGGATTTCAGAAATCACTGAAAGAGTCAATATGTGTTTATCGAGTGCCCATTATATGTAAGGATAGATACTGCCCTTGCTCTCACATAACAAAATAGAACAGATAATTAAGTAATATATTCTAATATGATACTCATGGCACATAACAAATTTTTTGTATTTCTCCTCTTTAAAATAAATTCTAAACTTAAATAATTTTTACTTATTTGTTGATTCTTGATTTCTTTCTGTACACCATGAAGGTTCAAAGGAAAAAAAGTGCCATAAACCTTATTTTTTAAAATATTTTTTTCATAGCAACACTATAACATGCATTTTTTTTAATATTTTTATTGCTAACTTAAAAATCTTGTGTAGTTAACATTTTATTGTTCTAATATGCATTTCTAGACCATCAAAAACTTTTAAATCTTCCTAAACTAGAACAAGTTTAAGCATCTATTGCAGATAACTTCATGACATACTCATCATTATGATTATTTTATCTTAAAAGTTTAAAATAGTTGATGTATAGGTTTTTTAATCCATATATTAATAATAGGGAAGTAGAAAAAACTATAATCAGTGATTCTTACCCTAGCAAAAAGAAAGACAAATATTCCAGTCCCACCAATCTCATGCAGCACGCCTTGAACCGTTTTACACTCAGTAGGCCATAGATGCTTTAGATGATGAAGTTCCAATGAGGTGCTCTGAACTTCTTTTGAGCTGAATGGTCTTTGAGAGAGTTGGGATTTCATTTGACCTTTAAGTCTGATAACTGGCTCATAGATGGTATACTGAGCAGGATGGTAAGTGGTATAAACTATTGAAAGACTTTCCTGAAATACAAATATTTTTCCTCAGTAACTAAAAAATGTTTAAATAAGGAGTTATCAACTAGTAAACAAATACTTCATTGTGAAAACACATTCAGATGATTTTTACTTGATTTTAAAATGGTAGGTACTACATTAAACAAAGATGAACCTATGAAGAACTCACAAAGCAAAAGCTTAATTTCATGTATCAGTGATAACAGTACCATATCAATGTTGAGAAGGATTCTAGCTTTGCAATCAATTAAGAATAAGAATTATATTTACCATAGTACTAATTCTTACATCACACTCATTATATACCAGGTACTGCTGTAAGCACTTTATAAATATTAACCAATCTTTATGACTCTATGAGGTAGGTACCTATCAATCAATTTATCTAAAATTTTTGCTTTGGATTTGCTCAGGAAATGACAACTCATTTAAAAATTACTCTAAGCCAAATCTTTCTTTCTACTAGAATGAAATTCCAGACTATTAGCACACCTAATTAACATTAAGTAGAATTTTCCCATGCAGAAGGTAGCTTCACTCAGTTCTGGACTGCTGTCATGCATCTACAGCTGCTGGAGTCTAGGCCCTAGGAAATCATGTACTGTGCATTCATGACTCTCACAAGCTGGTGAGAGCCTTGGGTTTTTGATCATTTACAACCTCTGATGATTTCAAAACTTTCATCAGACACACCATTCAGCATATCTGCACACCAACCAAATCAACAACAGTCTGTTGTATATGGTTATGCTGGGGGAAAAGCATCTCAATCCTGCAGTAGCTGTCATCAGAAAGCTGACAAAATGCTCATCTACTTGAACCAGTGCCACCTGACCACCAAGATGCTGCCAGATGGGCACCATCTCTGCCTGACTGTACCCGCATAGCCTCATAGCTCCAAATTATCCAACTTGGTGAAAACGAAGAGTTTTGGCATAAAAATGTTAGGATTTTCTTTTGTGATATTTTTTGTTGAATTTTATGACTTATATGGCCTATATTCTTTTTAGGTAAAACAAAAAGGTTAAGGAAATATTTTGTTTTGCTTTGTTTTGTTTCATAAAAATAGAGTAACCAAAAGCTAGAGAATTAAAATTATTTGAGTAAACACTTGGTTTCATTAAAGTAGAAGTTTTCAATGTGTGGTCCCAAAGCAGCAGCAGCATTCTTGGGACTTGTTAAAAATGCAGTCTTAGGACCCATTTCAGCCCTAATGAATCACAAACTCTGGCCCAGCAATCTGTATTTTAACAAGTCCCAAAGCATACATTTGACTGCAAACCAGAAGATCAGGGGCTCAAACCCACCAGCCACTTTGCAGAAGGAAGACTGGACTATCTACTTCCATAAAGATTTACTTCCTCAGAAAGCCAAAGGGGGTTGCTATGAGTTGGAATCAACTCGATGGCAGTGAGTTTGGTTTTCTTTTGGAATGCATACTCAAGTTTGAGAACCACTTCCCTAAACCATGCCTTGTCAAGGGTGGGATACTTGGAGTGGGATCATTTTTGTTGTATAACATTGTCCATACACTGCAGCATATTTAGCAGCCCTGACTCACACACACTAATAGTTGACAACCAAAATACTCAACCAGCCCATTTATGCGTGTGCGTACAGGCGCGTGTGCACGCGCGCACACACACACATAGTTTAAAATACTCCTTAGGAGAAAAGTTCTATATGCAGGATATCAGATCTTTAGTAAATGGCATAGGTTTTTATATCCATTCCACCACAGATACATCATTAAGATCACTTAATAAATACATATCTATACTATAATTTCTACTTTACTTTAGTCAGATATAACATCTAAAAAATATAATTTGGCTTTATTGTGCAAAATATACTTGAAAAACAACAAGCAAAAATATAGTCTAAGACAGTCATCTACTTCAAGTAAGAAATACCTCTGACCTATACTCATCCTTCTCATAAGAAGCAAGAGAAGAGAAGAAAGAACACAGTATCATGGCCAAGTCTACTTGTTTTCAGTAGATCTTCTAAGACTGTGAAGGCTCAGTTTTCTAGTTATTCTAACAAAGACACCAGCTTTCAAGCTGTATAACTGTTGTTGTTGTTGTTGTTATGTGTTGAGTCGGACTCAACACATAGTGACCCCTTCTTGGGTTTCTGAAGTGGTTACCACTACGGAAGTAGATTGCCCAAACTTCTTTCCGAAGAGTGGCTGGTGGGTTTGAACTGCCAGCCTTCTGGTTAGCAATCAAGTGGCTACCAGAGCTCCTTAAAACTAGTAAACAAAATATTAGAATAATGTATAAAAAACAATCCAAGAGTCTAAAATAAATAGAATCAGCAATTATTTGAAAGCAAAATTCCTAGTTGTTACTGATAGTAAAGAATACATTTTCTAAAATCAAAATGTATATAATTAAAACTAATACTATGTGTAAAAATTAATATTTTAAGTATGGAAAGGAAATGAGCAACATTTTTACGAATTTTTTGAGTGATTAATAAGTATAAACTAAATTAACCTGATAAATAGTATAGATATATAATTCCAAGAAAAATGGTAAAAATTTTAAGTCTGAAAACAAATTCAGGTAAGAAGTCAAAATGCTCCAATTTTTTTTTCAGGGAAAAAAAATGTTCTAACAAAATAAAATGTTACAGAACAAAACAGGAAAACTTCAGAAATTCAAAGCTTATTACACTTCAATAAATAAATATATATACAGTTACTATAAAGTTACACAAGTGAAACTTACGATTAAGAGACCGATGTCCACATCCTTCTTGGTCATAAAAAGTTCTCTGATTTGTTCACATTGCAAAATTTCTTTACTAATATATTTAGAGTAATCAATCACTGGCTTGCCATATTTACATGGCATTATAGATGTATAGTTGGGTCCACAAGCATATAGATAAAAGGCCTCCTGTGAACCAATCTTAGCTCCTGGATAGCAGAAAAACCAAGTTAATTACTTAAAACACTCCAATCAGAATTTTTCATAAATGAAAGCAAGAAACCAAGAGTAATTTTTCTTGCCAGATTCTTTAAGTTGCTCACTGTATCTTACAAAATTGATAGACCATCAATCTATAAATTGGTGTAATGATAAAATAACCTATGCCAACTCTGATGGAAGACAAATCAATATACTTAAAGCTAACTGTGAAACTCTTGATAAAATAATAAAATTTCTATTTGCTCATTAAGCAGAAAATTAGTGTTTTGTTTTCTTCTGCTGTGTTTCTAATAAATGGAAACTATACCTTCGCAAATTCCATTTAGAATACATTTTGAATTGATATCTTTGGGCTTTCCTTCCACTCATCTATCCATCCATGCAATAAATGCTGTCTGAATTATGAGTCAACTTTAATGATATATTTTAAAAATCATGCATTTTCTTTTTTCCCTAAAATTTGGTATATATATAGGATATACTAAAAATATAAATAAAAGAAAAAAACAATCTAACATAACAGTCATAATACTGCATTTTCCAGGACTGTAAAATACTGTTCATTTACTATAAGCTTCTCTTTTCTGGTAGGTGGGTGAGAGGAGAGGGCATGCACTTCTACAGGGAATGTATGTATCAAGTGTTAGACATATCTGGACTATAAAAACTCACTGTTGTCGAGTCAGTTCTGACTCATAGCAACCCCTCCTTGGGTTTCCAAGGTGGTATATCACTATGGAAGTAGATTGCCCAACCTTCCCTCCAAGAAGCAGCTGGTAGGTTTGTGAAAGATTTTTAAAAGTGTATTTTAATCTAGGAAATGCAGTACTTGTTAGATACAGGTGATGATACAAGAATGATAGTAACCAAGATAATTTACTTAACATTAATACTTACTAAATGGGAAAAAAAAAAAATCAGAAATGGTTCAAAAGGGAAACACATACCATTGAAAAGTAGCAAATTTCCCAGGTCCCATTTTCCAGCCAATTGCAAACATTCTTGTTGGGATGATAAACAATGGCCGATCATGCAGAATGTTTTATTACTATCAGATGACAAACTTGTTTTTCTTGGAAGCATATAATCCAATGTAACATCAGGCTTCCTATGAAAACAAACTTAAGTCAATCACTTTAGTGAGTACTAGTACTAAGTGTTTTTTAAAATCAGAATGTTTTAACAGTGGGAAATTCAAGAGTAATTCCTGGTTCAGTATCAGGTGGCTGGTGGTATGGAAGGAGAGGAGGCTGATTCAGCAGTCTCTTGGTCAGAGGAGTGCTAGCAATCTACCAGCCCCAGAAAGGGGAGCATGCAAAGATAACTGAGGATTTCACAACCCACATACTCTATGATAATACATCCCTTAGAGCAGTAGACCATGGGACACCAGAGGACCAACATTCAAAATGAGGAAATGCAGGGCAAACAGGAGTACATAAATATGAGGGGCACAGGGGGCAGGTTACTGGGTAGGGAGGGGAGGAGACTGGGTTAGGGTTGGACATGGCAAATGGGGAATGAAAGTAAATGTACATGTTACGTTGAATGTAAAACAAGCTCTTAAAATAAAAATTAAAAAAACAATAGGTAGGTGCATAAGGTGAACATTAACACTATGGAGGTATGCACTGCTTAGAGCAATCAACCAATTAATATCTAAAGGGCAGCATTTTCCCAAGAACAAATTTCAGAAGGCAGGAAGGGTTAGAAAAGAAGGAGGAATGGAAACAGGAAACACAGGGATAAAGTTGTATGGGGACTGCAATCAATGATATGAAACAAATGTGCACGAATTATTGAATGAAAAACTGATTTGCTCTGTAAACCATCACCTAAATCTCAATAAACAATTAATAAATAAAAATTTAAAAAAAAGAGTAATTTCTGGTTCAGTATCAGGTGGCTGGTGTATGGAAGGAGAGGAAGCTGATTCACCAGTCTCTTGGTCAGAGGAGTGGTAGCAATCTACCAGCCCCAGAAAGGGGAGCATGCAAAGATAACTGAGGATCTCACAATAGGCCAGGAGAAGTGTGACCAGACATTTGCTACAAGTTTTCTTTCTCATTCGACTTCTGTCTATGTGCCTTTCTGGCTTACTAATACAAACTGTCCATCTCCTTCTAATTTTTACCAAGAATCTTTCATCTTAGCAAACAATTCCTAAACCGCTTGTCTTCAAAGAAGCCTTGGAAGACTAATCAGAAAAACTATTACTTCTCCAACTTCTGCCATTTTCTAGCCACTGATATGCCAATGTTCTGTGTATTTTCTGTTTCTTTAAGGCTAAATGATAACAATTTTTGATTAGGCTCCATTTTTCTGGCATTTTTCTTCACAAAGCATACAGAAATACTTATAAAAGACAGAGTACTGGAAAAGGTAAACTAAAGCTTTCTCATAGAGAAAAACACACAAAAGCTACTGATGGTGAACATCTAGTGACACTGCAAGCCCCACCTCTATTTTAAGAATGGCCTGAACTCCATATTAAGATACTGAGGATGACCTGTAAAGGTAAAGTCTAAATAAAGCCTGTGAATAAGATCAAGACTTAGAATAAGCAACCATTGTTTGCCTGCAATAAGAAAATCTTCTGTAACATATATTTATTTAAAATCTTGGCCCCAAGGCTCTTGGCTTTAATATTTAACGTATAAATAACTATTTTAATAGAAATGATTTTTAGTAAAGCAACTTCTCTGTCAAGATGTGAGATCTCTTTTGTAACGTGAGCATCTTTGGACCAAGTGAATGACCACAACTTATACACTGCTGCCACCTACTGGCATATAACTTAAGTAGTTTTTTTAAGAGTGAAAGAAAATGTACAAGATGAATACATTTATGCACCAAGTATTAACTACTTCCTTATTTGTAAGGAGCCCTGGTGGTGCAGTAGTTAAGCACTCGTTTGAACCCACCAGCTGGCCATGCTTCTGTAAATATTTACAGCCTTGGAAACCCTATGGGGCAGTTCTACTCTGTCCCACAAGGTCCCTGAAAATCAGTATCAACTCATCAGCACACAACAACAACATGAGCCAAATACTTCTGCCATATTTATGTGTTGTTCATCAAATAAGCAGTAGTAGGAAATACTAACTTATTTGTCACTATCATCATTTAATTAAAAATGGCTTCTTGAAATATATTATCTGTAGACACTATTCTATAGATCGGACAGTGATAAAGATAGTGCCAAATTTAAGTCACAAGAATAAGATATTTGTTCCTGATCATGTGTTCACTCTTTTACTATCTGTTAAAATCATTACCTTACACTACATGGAAACAAATTTCTTCAAAGTAACACCGACATAAGCAAATGTATTAAAAGTAGATATGTGAACTAAGTGACATGCTCACCAACTTTAGAACAGTCCACCATGAAAATCTAATCTTTCATTCTGAACATATCTAATAATTAGTTTTTGATTCTTAGACCCATCAGCTGATCTGATTAGAGGAAAGCTGTAACAGGCATAGCATAGAGTTCTAAAGCATGGGCTCTATCTAGAACCAGTCCAGGTTCAGGTTCAGATGTTATCCCTCACTTGTGGCATAACTTTAGAAAAGATGCTTTATCCCACTCTGGGTCTCAGTTTCCTCATACATAAAACAGAAATAAAAATATATCTACTCTGCAGTGTTGCTGAGAGGATTTAGTGTGTACATAGTACTCAGTGCAGTGTCTGATACATGTTGAGAGGTCAAGAAATGAGGAAGAAAAAAGTCTAGGAGAAGAGACTCTCTACTTAATAGCTCCAAAGGATATACCTCAGGGTTCTGGAAGCAAATTTACTGATTGGCTGCAATTACCATTCAGGCTTATAAAGATGTAAAGATCAAGAACTTTCTAGATAACATTTTATTTGGAATATGGCAGTTAGGCACCAGCTATGTATTTCCACGAGTTATTTTAATGAATAACACAGAAACGAATCATTGATTTTCCTACTTTTTTTCCTGCACAGTATGTTTCCTGTGGCAGACACTGTGGATTGGTTATCCTAAAACCGTTTACAAGTCCCTTTTCCCCTGCCTTCCTCTGTTATTGAAGTTGGAGAGCTCTAAGTGATCAATTTCTGCAGGAACTGTTCACCACACTATTGCCTTTGTCTGTGCAATTCCCCTGTCTTGATCTCTTATCCTCCCTCCCTCTCTCCTCCTTCAGGTCTCAGCTTAAAAAACGTGTTTCTTGGTAGGCTTTCCCTAATCCACCAAACATTTTCTATCTCAGGACCTGTTTGTTACCTGCCCAGTATTTGTCATAATTTGTCAATATTTACTTAATTGCATTCACTTGTTGTCTGTCTCTTCATTAGACTAAGTTCAAAGAGGCAGGGAATATGTTTGTCTTGTTCATCACTGTCTTGCCAGGCCCAGTATAGCAAGTGCCTTCCTCAATAAATATTTGATGAATGAACAAATAAATGAATTAATATAGGCTCATATGTGTTAGATGTATATGTGCTTTTTGTGGACTAATCTATATTGAGAGATCTCTGAGAGAATTAGGAGATAATGTATATGAAGAACCTAGCAAAAGGCCTGCAACACAATAAGCATGCAGTATGTCACAGCCCATGTGATTACATCTAGACTACTCAACTTGGTATTCAAAGTGTATGTCAAATACTTTCACCATGCCCATTTGTTTTTCTTTCTCTTTACTCAACTGAGACCCTTCCTTCCAGCCAGACTGATCCTCTCTCATGTTACATACACTGGTTTCCATTCTGGATCTCCTTTCATGCTACTCCATTGAATAAAATATTCCCCAACTCTTACAAATGCAAGATACCTTATAGCTCCTTCAAGGTTATATTTTACATCAAAACATTTCACAAAATGTTTATTAACTCATCCCACAGTTCTCCTATTCTATAAAACTATTATCATACAGCACCTTTATCTATCACCTGATACATTTATAGGGATCTAAGGAGCTCTGATAGCATAGTGCCTAAGGCACTTGACTGCTCACCAGAAGGCTGGCGGTTCAAACCCACCAACCACTTCTCGGAAGGAAGGTTGGGCAATCCTACTTCCGTAGTGATACTGCCTCGGAAACCCAAGGAGGGGTCGCTATGAGTCGGGGCCGACTCGATGGCAAACAACAACAACAACAACATCTTAATCTAAGAAGGCACTCTGGTGGCACAGTGCCTAAGGCATTTGACTGCTAATCAGAAGACTGGCAGTTCAAACCCACCAGCAGAAGGAAGATGGGGCAATCTACTTCTGCAAAGATTTACTGCCTCAGAAACCCAATGGGGGTTGCTATGAATCAGAACCAATTCGATGACAGTGGGGTTTTCTGTTTGTTTGTTTTGTTTTTAATCTTAATCTGATAAGGAGCTCTGGTGGTACATGGTAAGACATTTGGATGCTAACCAGAAAGTAGGCGGTTCAACTGTGGAAAGTGGTATAGCAATTCCTTAAAAAGATGGAATAAGAAATACCATTTGATCCAGCAATCCCATTACTAGGTATATATCCACCAGCCACTCCTCGGAAGGAAGGTTGGGCAATCCTACTTCCGTAGTGATACTGCCTTGGAAACCCAAGGAGGGGTCGCTATGAGTCGGGGCCGACTCGACAGCTAATAACAACAACATCCTAAAGAAGTGAGAGCCAGGACAAGAACAGATATATGCACACCCATGTTCGTTGCAGCACTACTTACAATAGCAAAAAGATAGAAACAACAGAAGAATGGATAACTAAACTATGGTACATATATACAATGGAATACTATGCAGCACTAAACAATGAGAATCTACTAAACAATGCATAACATGGTTGAACTTGGAAGACATTATGCTGAATGAAATAAGTCAATTACAGAAGGACAAATATTGTAATTAGTTCATTATTATAAAAATTGAAGGAAATGTATATATATGGAAGAAAACTTTCATTGTTGGTTACCAGGGGTGTGTGGGGTAGGGAGGGAACACTGTAAAAATAAAGAAAGAAAAAAAAAGTCAGTGGTTCAAACCTACCAGCTGCTCTATGGAAGATGAGGGAATCTACTTCTGTAAAGATTTACAGCCTTGCAAACTCAATGGGTGTCACTATGAGTCAGAACAGACTCGATAGCTGTGGGTTATCTTAATCTAATATGCTGACTTATATTTTCTCTAGTTGTTTCATAAATAGATATGTATGCCCTTTTCCCAACTAAGGAGCTCTGGTAGCATAGTGCCTAAGGCACTTAACTGCAAACTGCAGGGTAGATATTACCCTGACAGTTCAAACCCACCAGCCACTTCTTGGACGGAAGGTTGGGCAATCTACTTCTGTAGTGATACTGCCTCAGAAACCCAAGGAGGGGTCGCTGTGAGTCGGGTCTGACTCCAACAACAACTCTAACAACAACAACAATAATTTCCCAGCTACACATATTTAGAACAAGGTCTATGTCTTCTACTTCTTTGTCCAACAAAGAACTGAGAACTAAGAAAATACTTTATAAATAAATACTTGTTTGATTAAAGATATGTTGGAATCATTCTAATTTCTTTTGAAAGCCTGATTTATTTAGATATTACCCTTATTAGCCACTTAATTTAAATAATCCTTTGTGGATTCTTTTTTTATTTTGTGTCCTTGAAGAACTAAATTATATATTCCATTCCTTGATCAAATATACACTGTACATAACTGTTTAAATGACCCGTTTCTGCATGCTCCCCAAAACCAAAAATATTAATTTTCAACAATTACTTCAATGGAAGATTCATTTCATATGAAAGCGATTAATAGGAAATAAATATCCAACTCCAACACAGATTCCCAGCTTAATATATGGTAAATATACAGAATCTGTTTTAAAGAGTATTACAGACTAAACTTAAAATTACAGCTGAGGTTAATATTTACTTTCTAAATATGCTTCATACCTCTGTCCAGAAACCCATATGGAGAGTTTCCCACGGATACTCTTTTTCCCTTGGGGCTGCTGTAAGTAGGTGAGTACTAAATGTTGCCATTTGCTCGGAAGGAAAATATTCTCCTGTGATTCCACTTGTGCTAGTAAAACAACCTTCATATCATCATTTGAATCCATGCACACACTATACAAGGAGAAAAAAGGCATAGGCCGAAAACATGAGAATTCTAACCTCAGTATTATCATCTCAACTCATGAACTAAAATAGATTAGGGATGCTTGCTGGTGTTAATAAAAATTAAGCAATAATTTTTAGAATTCAGTCTGCAAAACAATAAAAATATTTATCGTAACTATTTATACAATAGTAAAGTTAAAAAAGCATATATCCTTAAATAATTCATTGTTTTGTTTTGAGTTTTATAAAAATACTATTATATTATACATAGTATATATAGGAGGTATTTCCCTCTCTTTTTCAAATTAGATAATTTTTACTCAATATAAGTAAAAAATCTTTTATCTGTTCTAGTTAAAAAAAGAGAAAAAGGACAAGATCACAAGGCAACCTATTATTAAACAAGTTACTGAATGTAAAAGGAGCCCTGGTGGCAGTGATTAAAGCACTTAGCTACTAACTGAAAGATTGGCAGTTCAAACCCACCATCTGTTCTGCAGGGGAAAGACGTGACAATCTGCTTCCACAAAGATTTACAGCCTTGGAAACCCAATGGGACAGTTTCTACTCTGTCCTGTAGGGTCACTATGAATCAGAATTGACTCACTGGCAGGTTTACTGAATATGAAATGGTATATAGAAAATAGTTGTTCAATAATAACATCTTGAAATCATTGCAATCTGATAGAATACTTTCATAGACTAAGACTTAAGTATTTTGCCTAAAATCTAATACAATATTAATATAATCTACATCAGAGTTTAATTGTAGATTTTTTGCATAGAATAATGTTACAAAGTTGGTATTAACAGCTGTATTTTCTTTTTATTAGTAAGATATTTCTTTCTTACTCTAATGATCTTTCTTAGCAAATTTCACATTCATGTCTCATACATAAATTATTTAAACACATGATCTATTCTTGGGGGGTAGGGATTATCAATACCGAAAGATGAAAGTGCCACTGTGGGGATCAGCCCACACTTGGATCATCAATGCTTTGGATCCCAATGAAAGCATATGAACAGATCCTTCTTCTATGAGTTTTCCACCAGGATTTGCATACTCTGCTCCCTCTGGTCTGTTGCTCTCTAAGATAAAAAGATGTTAAAATGATCAGTAAAAGAGTTCATAAAAATTGAGTGAAAAAGTGAATTTAAAAGAATAAAAGCATGGTTGATCATCTGTAGGTTATTTATCTGGAATGTCTAGATTTGACCTGCTCCAAAAGAACAATATCAGATTTAGATGTTAACTTCAAAAAAGCATAATGAGTATAAAACAGTAATCTAGTGCTTTAAAACAGTTACTGAGTATTTTAAAATACATAATGAGGGCCAACTGTCAGCATAACCAGACTGCTGTGATGTCACTGCAATCACCTATTACAACGTACATCACCCTTCTTTTTACCAATTGGATGGGCCACTATGACATTACTGACTCTGGCACAAGGAGTTCACACCATTGTCACATACCTCACACTACCACAAATCCTCCTGTAATTATTACAATTATATGATTTTTTAAAAATTGACCATATTAAAAATCTTTTTTAGAGAAATTACAGTGTTTAAATGCATTCAGTGTTTAGACTCCCTGATGAATGATCTTTTAATGTAATTACTGATAACTAAAATTCTAAATTGCTTCTTTAAGCTTAGGCAAATTTTACAGGCTTTGGTTATCTTGTAATTCATCCTGGCTCCTCTCACCACTTAAAAACTTGGCATTATCTGAGTATTTATGATGTGTTAGATCCTCACATCATCCATGCTACTTGTTATTATAATGCACGTGACTTTATGTAAAGCTATGCTAAGATGTACCATAATACAAAGGTTATGTCCAAAGTTACAGACTTTCAGGGAAGATGAACATTACTGGCTATTAGATTGCATATATATTCATCTCATTTTTCAACAGGAAAAACCACCACTAACATTCCACCTAGAAATGATAAGAGTCCTCAAAAAGGAAGCGTTAAAAGCATTGATTATTTTAGGACTACTGCTTGAGATGTACAGAGAATGCATATCTAATGTGACATTTAAAAACAAAAAATTCTCATACCAGACATGAACATGTACAAATGAAAGACTAGAATAAAAAACAGTTTGTGCCCAGGAACCATATAGTAGGCATACTGCCACTGTATCTTAATTTAATGCTCATAGAAATCTTCTCCACCACTCATCTTGTCAGTTTGTCATACTGTGGTGGCTTGAGTGTTGCTGTGAGGCTGGAGATTATGTCACCGGTATTTCAAATACCAGCAGGGTCACTCATGGTGGACAGGTTTCAGCAGAGATTCCAGATCAAGACAGACTCAGAAGAAGGAAGGGGCCATCTACTTCTCAAAGAACTGGCCAGTGAAAATCTTATGAATAGCAGTGAAACATTGTCTGATACATTACTGGAAAACTTTATGAATAGCCCTGAAACACTGTCTCAGATAATGCCAGAAAATAAGCCCCTCTAGTCAGAAGGCACTCAAAATACAACTAGGGAAGAACTGACTCCTCAGACTAGAGCCAACTTAGTGATGTGGATGGAGTAAAGCTTTTAGGACCTCCATTTGCTGATGTGGCATGATTCATAATGTGAAGAAACAACTACAAACATCCATGAATATGGAATGTATGAAGAATCTAGGAAAATTAGAAGTTGTCAAAAATGAAATGGAATGCATAAAGATCAATATCCTAGGGATTAGTGATCTGAAATAGACTGCCTTTGGTCAGTTTGAATCAGACAACCCTACGATCTACTATGCTGGGAATGACAAATTGAAGAGGAATGGCACTGCATTCATCATCATAAAGAATGTTTCAACATCTATTCTGAAATACAATATGGTCAGTGATAGGATGATACCTACACACCTACAAGGAAGACCAGTTAATAGTATTATTCAAATTTACTCACCAACTACCAAAACTAAAGATGAGGAAATTGAAGATTTTTACCAACTTCTGCAGTCTGAAACTGACCAAACATGCAATCAACATGTGTTGATTATCACAGGTGATTGGAATATAAAGTTGGAAACACAGAAGAATCACCGGTAGTGGGAAAATATGACCTTGGTGATAGAAATAATGCTGGAGATTGCATGAAAGAATTTTGCAAGATCAACAATGTATTCATTGCAAATCTCTTTTTTCAACAACATAAACGGTGGTTATACACATGGACTTCACCAGATGGATTACACAGGAATCAAATCGACTATATCTGTGGAAAGAGGCAATAGAGAAGCTCAGTATCTTCAGGCAAAGGAAGGCCAGGAGCTGACTGTGGAACAGACCATCAACTGCTCATATGCAAGTTCAAGTTTAAGTTGAAGACAGTTACAACAAGTCGATGAGAGCCAGAAAATTACCTTGATTACATCCCTTCTGAATTTAGAAACTATCTAAGGAATAGATTTGATGCATTGAACACCAATGGCTGAAGACCAGAAGAACTGGGGGATGATATCAAGAATGTCATCCATGAAGAAAGCAAAAAGGTCATTAAAAAGGAAAGGAAGAAAAGTTCACAATGGATGTTAGAGCAGACTCTGAAACTTGCCTTTGAATGGAGAGTAGCCAAAGCAAAAGGAAGAAATGAGAAGGTGAAAGAGCTGAATACAAGATTTAAAAGAGAAGCTCAAGAAGACAAAGTCAATTATTATAATGAAATGTCCAAAGACCTGGAGTGAAAAACCCAAAAGGGAAAAACACGCTCTATATTTCTCAAGCAGAAGCAACTGAAGATAAAAATTCAAACCTTTGAGTTTCAATAATGAAGATTTTATGTGCAAAATATTGAATGATGCAGGAAACATCAAAAGAAGATGGAAGAAATACACAGTCACTGTACCAAAAAGAATTTGGTCAATGATCAACTATTTCAGGAAGTGGCATATGATCAAGAAGCAATGGCAATAAAGGAAGAAGTTGAAGCTGCACTGAAGGAATTGGCAAAACACAAGGTTCCAGGAATCGGCAGGATACCCATTGAGATGTTCCAACAAACAGATGCTGTGCTGGCAGTACTTACTTGTCTATGCCAAGAAATTTGGAAGACAGTTAGCTGGCCAACTGATTGGAAGAGATCCATTCAAAGAAAGGCGATCCCATACAATATGGAAATTATAGAACAATATCATTAATATCACACGCAAATAAAATCTTACTGAAGATAATTCAAAAATGGTCGCAGCAGTATATTGACAGAGAACTTCCAGAAATGCAAGATGGATTCAGAAGAGGATGAGGAACGAGGGATATCACTGCTGATGTCAGATGGATCTTGGCTCAAAGCAAAGAGTAGAGGAAAGATGTTTACTTGAGTTGTACTGACTATGCAAAAGCATTCGATAACTGGATCATAACAAATTATGGATAACAACTGAAAAGAATGGGAATTCCAGAACACTCAATTGTGCTCATGAGGAACCTATACATAGACCAGGAGGTTGTTATGCAAACAGAACAAGGGAATACTGCATGGTTTCAACTCAGGAAATGAGTGCATCAAGGTTGCACCCTTTCACCATACTTATTCAATCTGTTTTGCTGTAGTTGTGTGCCGTCGAGTCGGCCCTGACTCACAGCGACCCCTCCCTTAGGTTGCTGAGGCAGTATCACTATGGGCGTAGATTGCCCAACCTTCCTTCTGAGGAGTGGCTGGTGGGCTTGAACCGCCAGCCTTCTGGTTCGCAGTCAAGTGCCTTAGGCACTATGCTACCAGAGCTATTCAATCTGTATGCTGAGCAAATAATCCGAGAAGATGGACTATATGAAGAAGAACGGGGCATCAGGATTGGAGGAAGACTCATTAACAACATGCAGATGACACAACTTTGCTTGCTGAAAGTGAGGATGACTTGAAGCACTTACTGAAGAAGATTAAAGACTACAGTCTGCAGTATCGATTACATCTCAACATAAAGAAAACATAAAGAAACCCTCACAACTGAACCAATAAGCAGCATCACAATAAATGGAGAAAAGGTTGAAGTTGTCAGCGATTTCATTTTACTTGGTTCTACAATCAACACTAATGGAAGCAGCAGTCAAGACATCAGATGACATACTGCACTAGGCAAATCTATTGCTGCAAAAGACCTCTTGAAGTGCTGAAGAACAAAGATGTCTCTTTTAAGACTAAGATGTGCCTAACCCAAGCCACGGTTTTTTCAATCACCTCATAAGCATGTGAGAGCTAGACAATGAATACGAAAGACCGAAGATGAGTTGATGCTTTCGAGTTGTGGTGTTGGCAAAGAATACTGAAAGTACCATAGAATGCCAAAAGAACTAACAAATCTGTCCTGGAAGAAGAGCAGCCAGAATGCTCCTTGGAAGCAAAAATGACCATACTTTGTCTCACCTGCTTTGGTCATGTTGTCAGAAGGGACCATTCCCTGAAGAAGGATAGCATGTTTGGTAAAGTGGAGGGTCAACAAAAAAAGGAAGGCCCTCAATGAGATGGAATGACACAGTGGCTGCAATGATGGGCTCAGATATAGCAAGGATTGTGAGGCTGGCAGAGGACTGGGCAATCTTGTTCTGTTGTACACAGGGTCGCTATGAGGCAGCGCCAACTCGACGGCAACTGACAACAACAAGAAGAAATCTTCTGAGGTAAGTATTATTTTTCCCATTGTTGGGATAACAGAACTGAGGCTCTGAGAGGTTAAATGACTTACTCAAAGGCACACAATCAGTTTACTGGCAAAGGATGTTATGTCATTACAATATTTTCTTCATCACGCTAGAAAAATTTTTATATGTATCTACTATTTTCAACGTTCTTTTAAACATTTATGCAAAATCATCTTTCTAAAATACATGTTTTCTAATGTCTCTTTATGCTAAGACTTTTTTTTTTAATTCCCAGAACTTAATTTTCTTAGGTCACTGTATATATTTATTCATTTTATAAGAGATTGTTTATATTGAGATTTTCCACACTAAATATATGAGAAAGAAATTTGCATAACTTAGAGTGTAGTGGTGACATTTAACCTCTGGAATTAAATACAGGTGGGTTTAAATTCCTTTCCATCACTTACTAGCTATCTAACTTCTTCATGATTTTTAACTTCATCTGCAAATACAGACACTATGAGCCATTACCTTACTGAATTACAAGGAAAGATTAAAAATGTACAGGAGAGCTGAGAAGTGACACATATACACAGAAAGTACTCAGTGTACATTAGATAGAATCATCATCAATACTATCACATGTAGTATAGTTTCAGAGTTATCAATTATTAAGTGGCAAAATTTAACTCACAAAATAAAATGCTCTGTTATATTTTGGGGATTGCAATCAATGTTTTGAATCAAAATGTGTATATGAATTATTGAATTTGCCCTCTAAACTGTCTCCAAATCACAATAAAAAGTTTAAAAAGAAAGAAAGAAAATGTTATAACTATCTGAAACATTACAAATTATCTGCTCAGATTTAAAAAAAAATGATATCCAATTTGGCTGCAAACCAAAAGATCAGTGGTTCAAACCCACCAGCTGCTCTGTGGGAGAAAAATGAGGCAGTCTGCTTTTGTAAAGATTTTCAGCCTTGGAAACCCATTGGGGCAGTTCTACTCTGTCTTATATTGTTGTTATAAGTCAGAATTGACTCAACAGCAGTGTGTTTTTCTAGGATAACCAACAAAAGTACCTAAGTATTACACTATGCTAACAACATGAAGTCTAACCACTGTGTCTACCAAGATGTCTGTGGAAAAACGGATTTAGAATTCCAACTCTAGCCAAATCAGGAACAAAATGCAGTTTTATAGGAGCCTAATATCAATTCTTCAGTGATAGAAAGGACTGGAATAAAATATATCCTAAACTGACACTGACCCAAGGAGCACAAAGCATCATCCCATGTCTAATACTACTACAAATCATCCTATAATTATTTGGAGAAAAACTGATGCATTTAAATATTCTGTGACAGGCACTAAGAGAGAGGCACTAAAGTAAGAAACAGCATAGAAAAGACAGATTGAAATAAAAAAAGAAGATGAAATGGGCCTAACTGGAATTGGGAAACAAGTAACAGAAAGACAGAAAAGTGGCCCTAAAGTTATGCTTTCCTTTTTCATACCAATAGCCATCTTAATGCAGCAATGGAACCAGGTAAGAGGCAGAACTACTGACCCAATAGCAACAGTTGTACATGTGGTGTACCTATGGAGAAAAAAAAAAAAAAAAGACAAACATAGGGAAGGAGATGGAGATTAAAAGACCCACTGACAACCCAAGCTTTGGTAAATCAGGACCTGCTAGAACTAAGTAAAGGCATGTAAGGTGAAGAATATGTTATGGGTAAGTTAGAACATCACTGTATTCTTACTGCTCAATGAAAACTGTCATTTAAAAAATCTAAGTGTACAAATTGGGTAGCTCTGTCATCATACCTGTTCCATCAAAACTGCTATCCCATATAATTATTGATTTGTTTCTTTTCTTTATCTTCTTTCCTTTTTCTATGTGACTCTCAGTCTCATCGGTACACTCCACATTAAACCACAGAGACACACTAAAGCCCTCTGCCAAGTGTGGCCAACAGTTTTGCCCCAGCAATGGCAAGTGGATTGGGGCTACATGCCAAGAGGAAAGCAACTGGTAGGGGAAGTTTTCACTGTCAGGCTTTTTCTTGCTCCGTGAAACTCGTGCTCTTCTCAATAATCCCATGGCCTTACTGTTCAGAATCCCAGGACACTTTTGTGATGACACACCATTGCTTACATGTGGGGTATGCAGTAAAGGGAAGGTTAGATACTGTGAAGGGCTCATAGAAATATCAGTTTCAACAATTTTCAGAATACCCAGAAGAAGAATTTCCTAGGAAAAACAAAACATTACAATCACATTACAAGTTATATAATAATCTTGAAATTCAAGTTACAAATGAAAATGCAAATACACCCACACACATCATAAACATTCTTGTTTAAATACTTCCTTTATCTACCATATCTTTAAAAAATTCCTTTTTGTACAGTTAAAATAAAATATGAAATAGAAATTTCATTTGTAAAATATATAATCTCCTGTGGCTAGCTCACTTTATATTTAAATGTCTTTATGTAAAAATCAGAAGTTTTTGGTTAAACTGGAATGTAGAATGTATAGAAAAGATAAGAGAGGAAATGAATATTTAATAACTAAGGAGACAAGTAATAAAGTAGAAAAGATTTACTTGGAATGCAATGCCTGACTCATATATAAGACAACATCTAATGGTTATTATGATAATGAAAAATGAACTAAGAAAAAGTGATAAAGATATTCCATAAATATCAGTCAGTTCTCAAATATCTACACCAGCCATTTTTCAACCATGTTCCACAGAGGTCTCTCAGGGTCCAGGGGGCTGGAGTGGTACAGTGAAATAGGCAGAGCTCTGGAATCTCCAGTCCTGCTATAAACAAGAGTAGCTCTAAGTTCTTTTCATTTTATTTAGTTATACTTCTAGTCAGGCTTTCATTCTAAAAATGTGCTTCCCAGCAAAAAACAGTTTAAAAGTCACTGAAGTGGTTCAGTGGTAAAATTCTAGCCTTCTATGCAGGTTTGATTCCTGGTCAATGTACCTCATGTGCAGCCACCACCTATCTGTCACTGGAGGCTTGTGTGTTGCTCTGATGTTGAATAGGTTTCAGCAAAGCTTCCAGATTAACATGCACTGCAAAGAAGGGTCTGGCAATCTACTTCTGAAAATCAGTCAGTGAAAACACTATGGATCGCAACAGTCCAATCAACAACGAATAATGGGGATGGTACAGGAATGGCCAGTGTTTTGTTCCACTCTATGTGGGGTCTCCATGTGTCAAGGGCTAACACAATGACAGCTAACAACAGCAACAACAACAAACCACCACAATGGAAAGAAGTAGGAGAAGATAATGAAGACTGAATAATAATTTTTTAAAGATAATCTTCAAAATGACTATAATTACTCATAATTTAGTTCTCCTTAGTAATTAACATTATCTTGCATTTCTTAAACATGGAGATTGAGGATGAGGTGGGATAAAAGGTCTATGATCTCAATGATATGTCTGATAGGCCAAAACAAAGATAAAAATAGAGTTAAAATATGTGCAAATAATATGAGTACTTCATATATAATAATACAGAAGTGACAGTATAACAATTACCACATAAAAAGAGGGAGCTTATTGATTTGATTTCCAGATAATATAACAAGACATTCAATTAAGGTATCTGTGAAAAATTTTTTAATTATGGCATATTTACTGTACAAGGAGATTTCTCCAGAAATATCCTCAAAAGAAGGGTTAGGTCTTCCGAACATGTTCTTGAACTTATCAGAGAAACCAAAAGATCCACCAATATTCTCTGGCATGCTAAATTAAAGAAAGAGGGGTAAAATTAAAGCCATTACATACTTCAGTAAAAAAGATCAAAGGCTATTGTCACATCTTGCATGGATTATAAACAATCTAATGACTCCAAAATTTGTTGAGGAAAGAGTAGCATGACTAAATGTAATGCAACGAACCAACTGACAAAAATAAACAAAATACTTTTCTTAAAGACAGGTTAACTCCAAGTAACCTAAAGGCATAAACTAATACAATATCTATAAACTAAGTAGAGACATGATTAGATACTATAGTTGGCTACCTTCTCATCTTGAAAATGTTTTCATTACAACTATCATTTTCTAAACAGAAAATTACATAGCAGAAATAAAAGTGAAAATACTGAAGACTGTGTAAATACAGAAATAGCACAATTCAGTTTGAATATTTCCTTTTCTATCTTGAAGTTTAGCATAATATAAATGGTGGTACATAAATTCATACAACTTCATAGAGTAATAGTAACTAATATTTGTAAAGCACATATTATAGTGTCCAAAGTATTTTTACATGCATTTTCTCAGCTGATACACATACACACGCACACACAAAAAAAAAAAACACAAATTAAATATTATCTCCATTGTAGACAGGACAAAAATAACACTGATATAAAAGATGAGATGTGTCTTGAAGGATGAGTGAATTTCAGAAAACCTGGAAGTCAAAGTATAAAAGTCATGTTTAAACAACATATTTTGCAGAAGCAGTGAGTTGATGCAGTATAGTTTAGTACAGCTGGAAAGTCAACTTGCAATGAGACTATAAAATAGCATAGAACTTACTCTGTTGAGTAACATGAATCCACTAAAGATTTTTAAGGAGGAAAGTAACAGGATCAAAGTAAAGTGTGTATACGTAATTTCTTTTTTTTTTAGAAACAGTGTCAGCTCAAAATGGGGGAATATATGTGTGTGAGTGTGTGTGTGTTTGCTTTTGTATACTACTGAAAAGTCACTAAACTAAAAGTACAGAGTTACAAAAAGAAGAAACCCCATTTAATAGTAAAAAGATCAGGGCAGTGAGCACTAGTGGTACATCAGATCAGAGATTTTATATTATTTCTTGAAAATGGACAAGTAGATGGATAAAAGAGAAAGTTTCTGCCTAGAATCTCTGAATTACAAAAAGGGTTCAGGTGAGTGAGGACTCAATCTGCCCCCTCATCTAAAGTTTGGAAGGTCAGCAAGTACCATAAATAAGTAAATGGGGAGAAAGGAAATCTCTTCCATACAATTTCAATTAATAAATGTAGAAAGAATGATGGAAAAAGAAAAATCACCATTTGGCAAACACCACAGTATTGATTCCAGCAAGGATATTTACATAATCTCAATGTATCTCCCCAGAAGATACTTACTCATTACAAAGGAAAAATAACAACTTTATAATGGAGAAACCTGACAGACACCACCTCATTGTTGTGGTCAAAGCTAGCATCACCAGTTACAAAATATTGACATGGTGTGCCTCTTAATATGAAGGACTGAGAAGGACAAAACACCATTTCTGAAGTATTCTTGCCCAAAATGGATAACCTGAATTTAATTGTGAGGAAACATCAGACAAACCCAAATTAGTGACTCATGTATGTTAGCTTTAATTCTCTATATTAAACTAAAATTTAGGTTTCTTGTAGTTAGAAATCATATTATATATTTATTATGAATCTCAAACATTTAGGAAAGTACTGAGAGTAGGCATTCAATCAGTAACTGAAAGGGCAACAGTGCAGTTTCTGCCTACATAACTCTGAACAACTGACTTAATTCCTTGGAATGTAGCTTTTCCTCTCTATAAAGCAGAGATATTTATACTATGTCTCCTTATTAGGAGCTTCTGAGGAACAAATGAGAAGATGCACATAAAGATGCTTTTTAAAACCACAGAGCAATATGCCAACAGAAGTCATTATTATCAACTCTTCATTTCACATTATAAGAAAATAATTTAAATGCTATTGTTCAAAATTAAGTTTCAGCTCACCTTGGAAATCAGAATCATCCTGAGTTAAAATATTTAAGAACCCTCCTAACAGATTTTTTACAATTCCCTGAAAATTAGAAAAACAAAATAAATTTCTTACCTCATGAAAGCATGGAGCAACTTCAATGTTTTAAAAAATTATACGACACTTGTCTACTTGTATATACAAATATATAAATATTGAAAAAAGACTGGAAAAATATTATGCTTAAGATCATAATTTTTATTTTTTTTTCATAATACTTTCATATATTTCCTAATTTTTCAAAAGAATGAACATATTTTAAATGCTATCATTTCTCAGAAGCATTTTAAAATCCATCACTGGTTAACTAATGACAACATTAATTTTTTTTATGAGAACTAAGGAAATAAAAGATTTTAGATTAATTAATCTACATATAGATTAAAACATACTTAAGATATAAAAGAAAAGCAATCATCTCAAATAATTTTCAGAGAAGTAAGGATATAAATAAGGAGCAACATAATTGGAGGATTAGTCTGATAAATATCAATCACCTTTAATTAGATGCATCTTTTTACCTGTTGTATTAGCAGATAAATATTCTTTTCTTTCTGTCTGATGATTTTCAAAAAACTCTCAAAGACATGGGCAATCACATCAAGTTTGACTTTACTAGAAGAAAGTAAATTTAATTCTAGCATACAAATCTCAGGATATATTATTTCCCCTTGTGTGAGGTTTCCAAAGAAGTAAGCTGGACAGCTTGATGCACTGAAACCTTCTACCTCAGCCTTTACATCTACTCCTGAAAAGGGAAAAAGAAAAGAGTGTTTTTATTCCCTAAACACTGAATGAACAGTTCAAACCTTATTCATCATTTAGAAGATCTAGTGGCGTACGTACGATTTATAAGAAGGCACTCACAAAACCTTTTCCTAGAAGATGACTTTTGATTATGATATGTACGCTGAATGATCAAGTCTTGTGGATATTGTGAAGATTAGTGAGTAGCTTTAAATATAATTTTGATATTCACTAGAACCACAAATATTATCAATAGTAATTTTTATAGAATTGATAAATTGTGGTATGTTTAACAAATCCCTCCAACACAACTGGGAAAAAAATACTATCTCAAACTTTCTGACTCAAAAATATTAAATCAGAGGGTTCAATTTGCCTGTCCATCTCTCTGTGAAAATAGGCTTGGCTATTGATTGAATGAATTCTTCTTCATGGTGAGAAACAGACACTGTCTCACTGAATTTGAAAAATTTGACTGATATACTCCTGAAAGAGACTGCTGGGCTTTATTTACTTATTCATTCATTTTATGTTCATATAAATCCACTCTTATCAACATGGTTAGGTTCCAAAGACCAGGTCATTATGTGAAAACTGGAATTATGCAAAAATGGAGTATGATCAGATCAGATCACAAAATGGAGGGTGACTACATCATTACATAACTGTCAAATTATTTCATTACATAACTGCCAAACTACTAAGAATTACAGTCCACCCAAACTGACACATAACCTTGTCAGTCAGCATTATTCTCACCTTGTACCTTGACTTTCGTTACTGTCCAACATATGTCATTAATGCACGAAATAGACAGATTTTTTACTGTGGTTGTTGTAGTTAAGGTTATGTGTCAACTTGGCTGGGCCTGGTTTTCAGTTGCTGGGCAGCTGGATGTAGTTATTCCCCATGCTGCAATTGGTAATTAACTCCATGGTGGAATCTACTGGAGCAGCTAAGTAGCTGCTTTAGGGATGTGGTCTGCTTCCAGTATGTAAGAAGCAGCTTTGAGGAAGTTCTCCAGTTTTTTGGCACGTTTGGACCCTGCTTGTAGCCAAGTCGTCATTCAGCAGCCTGCCATGCTCTGCCAATCTTGGTACTTTTAAAAGATTTGAATCAATGGCCTGCTGTATCATCTGGTAATATCAGGACTGTATCTTTTTACTTGTCGACCTTGGGTTTGTCGGTTTCAGCAGCCAGCAGCTGCCTGAGTGAAGAATGCCCCCAGCTTCAGTGGGCTGGGAGTAAGAGGCAGAGCTGAAGCCCAAGCCTGAGGGGCTTTCACTCAGACTTCTAGCCTCCAAAAGTGTAAGAGAATAAACTCCTGTTTGTTTAAGCCATCCCATTTGTGGTATATTCCTGTCAGAGTGGCACTGTTGTTATTAGGTGCCATTGAGTTGTCTCTGACTCATAGCAACCTTACATACAACAAAACAAAACACTGCCCGGTTCAGTGCCAGCCTCACAATCCCTGCTATACCTGAGCCCACTGTTGCAGCCACTATGTCAATCCTCCTTGTTGAGGGCCTTCCCCTTTTTCATCAACTCTCCATTTCACCAAGCATGATATCCTTCTCCAGGAAATGGTCCCTTCTGACAACAAGATCAAAGGAGGTGAGACGAAGTCTGGCCATTCCTGCTTCTGAGGAGCATTCCAGCTGCACTTCTTCCAGGACAGATTTGTTTGTTCTTTTAGCAGTCCATGGTATTTTCAGTATTCCTTTCCAACACCACTCAAAAGCATCAATTCTTCTTTGGTCTTCCTTATTGATTGTCCAGCTCTTACATGCATGTGAGGCGACTGAAAATACCATGGATTGGGTTATGTGCACCTTAGTCTTCAAGGAAATATCTTTGCTCTTCAGCACCTGAAGGGGGTCTTTTGCAGAAGATTTTCCCAATTCAATACATCTTCTGATGTCCTGACTTCTGCTTCCACTGGTGTTGATTGCAGAACCGAGTAATATGAAGTCTTAGACAACTTCAATCTTTTCTCCATTTATTGTGATTCTGCTTATTGGCCCAGATGTGAGGATTTTTGTTTTCTTTATATTAAGATGTAATCCATACTGCAGACTGTAGTCTTCCATATTCATCAGTAAGTACTTTAAGTCATCCTCACTTTCAGCAAGCAAAGTTTTATCATCTGCGTATCTCAGGTTGTTAATGAGCCTTCCTCCAATCCTAATGCCACATTCTTCATACAGTCCAGCTTCTCAGACTATCTGCTTAGCATACAGATTGAATAAGTATGTTCAAAGGATACAACCCTGACACACTCACTTCCTGATTTTAAACCACCTAGTATCCCTCTGTTCTGTTTGAATGACAGCCTATGTACATACAGGCTTCTCATGAGCACAATCACGTGTTCTGGAATTCCCATTCTTCTCAGTGTTGTCCATAATTTGTTATGATCCACACAATCGAATGCTTTTGCATAGTCAATAAAACACAAGTAAATATCTTTTTGGTATTCTTTACTTTCAGCCAAGATCCATATGACATCAGCAACAATCCCTCATTACACGTCTTCTTCTGAATCAAGCTTGCATTTCTGGAAGTTCTCTTGTCAATATACTGCTGCAACCATTTTTTAATTATTTTCAGTAAGATTTTCCTTGCATGCAATATTAATGATATTGTTCTATAATTTCCACATTCTGTGGGCTCACCTTTCTTTGGAATGGGTACAAATATGGATCTCTTCCAGTCAGTTGGTCAGGTAGCTGTCTTCCAAATCTCTTGGCATAGATGAGTGAGTGTGTCCAGCACAGCATCCATTTATTGAAATATCTCAATGGGTATTCCATCAATTCCTGCAGCCTTGTTTTTTGCCAATTCCTTCAGGGCAGCTTCAACTTCTGCCTTCAATACCATTGCTTCTTGATCATATGCCACCTCCTGAAATGCATGAACATCGACCAATTCTTTTTCGTATAGTGACTCTGTGTATTCTTTCCATCTTCTTTGGATGTTTCCTGTGCCATTCAATATATTGCCGATGTGTTTTTTTGTTGTTGTTGTTATGTGCCATGAAGTCAGACCCGATTCACAGAGACTCCTCCTTGGGTTTCTGAGGCGGTATCACTACAGAAGGAGATTGCCCAACCTTCCTTCTGAGGAATGGCTGATGGGTTTGAACCGCCAGCCTCCTGGTTAGCAGTCAAATACCGAAGGCACTACACTACCAAAGCTCCTATGTTGACCATAGAATCTTTCAATATTGCAACTTGAGGCTTGAATTTTTTCCTCAGTTCTTTCAGCTTGAAAAATGCTGAGTGTGTTCTTCCCTTTTGGTTTTCTAACTCCAAGTCTTTGCACATTTCATTATAATAAGTGATCTTGTCTTCTTGAACTTCTCTTTGAAATCTTCTGTTCCACTCTTTAATCTTGTCATTTCTTCTATTTGCTTTAGCTAGTCTCTTTTCGGGAGCTCTGGTAGCATAGTGCCTAAGGCACTTGACTGCTAACAAGAAGGCTGGCGGTTCAAACCCACCAGCCACTCCTCAGAAGGTTGGGCAATCTACTTCCATAGTGATACTGCCTCGGCAACCCAAGGAGGGGTCGCTATGAGTCAGGTCCGATTCGACAGCACACAACAACAACAGTCTCTTTTCAAGGGCAAGCTTCAGGGCCTCTTCTGACATCCACTGTGGTCTTTTCCTCCTTTCTTGTCTTTTGAATGACCTTTTGCTTTCTTCATGGATGATGTTCTTGATGTCATCCCACAATTCCTCTGGTTTTCAGTCATTGGTGTTCAATGCATCAAATCTATTCTTTAGGTGGTCTCTAAATGCAGGAGGGATATAATCAAGGTCTTATTTTGGCTGTTGTGGACTTCTTTTAATTGTCTTCAGCTTCAACTTGAACTTACATACGAGCAGTTTATGGTCTGTTCCACAGTCAGTTCCTAGTCTTGTTTTGGCTGAAGATATTGAGCTCCTCCATCGCCTCTTTCCACAGATGTAGTCAATCTGATTCCTGTGTACTCTGTCTGGTGAAGTCTATATGTATAGCTGCCATTTGTGTTGTTGAAAAGAGGTATCTGTCATGAATAATTTGTTGGTCTTACAAACGTCTATCATGCATCTCCAGCATTATTTCTATCACTAAGGCCATATTTTCCAAATACCAGTGATTCTTCTTTGTTTCCAACTTTTGCATTCCAATCACCAGTGATAACTAACATAACTTGATTGTATGTTCAGTCAATTTCAGACTGGAGAAGATGTTAAAAATCTTCAATTTCCTTATCTTTGGCTTTGGTGGTTGGTGTGTAAATTTGAAGAGTAGTAGTATTAACTGGTCTTCCTTGTAGGCATACAGATATTACCCTATCACTGACAGCATTGTACTTCAGGATAGATCTTGATACATTCTTTGCGATAATGAATGCCACACCATTCCTCTCTGTCATTCCTGGCATAGTAGATCATATGTTTGTCTAATTCAAAATGGGGAAAACAAGTCCATTTCAGCTCACTAATGCCTAGAATATCGATCTTTATGCATTCCATTTCATTTCTGACAACTTCCAACTTTTCTAGATTCATACTCCGCACATTCCATGTTCCAATTATTAATGGATGTTTGCAGCTGTTTCTTCTCATCTTGAGACATGCCACATCAGAAAATGAAGGTCCCCAAAACTTATCTCCATCCATATCATTAAGATGACCTCTACTCTGAGGAGGCAGGTCTTCCCCAGTCATTTTTTGAGTGCCTTCTGACCTGAGGGGCTCATCTTCTGGCATTATATTTCAGGGTTTTCATAACATTTCCCAGTAATATAACAGAGCGTTTCACTACTATTCATAAGGTTTTCTGGACAATACTGCAGGGCACATTGGTGTTTGGAGCACCAGGGGGAAGGCCAGGTAAGCAAGCTGGGCACACAGGACAGGTGGGTGTTGGAGCACCCAGGGGAGGCCAGGAAGTGAGCAGGACAGTTTGGAACAACTAAGGGAGAGAACCTTGTCTGCCAATTTGTCATAATGTAATGGCTTGTGTGTTGCTGTGAGGCTGGAGGCTATGGTACTGGTGTTTCAAATGACAGCAGCGTTACCCATGGTGGACAGGTTTCAGCAGAGCTTCCAGACTAAGACAGACTTACACCTAGCTCACTTACTTGGCCTGCCCTCAGGCACTCCAAACACCTGCCTGCCCTGCGCACCCAGCTTGCTTATCCAACCTGCCCCTGAGTGGCACTAGGTGACCAAAACAGTTGTAAATATGAAATGTCAGGTAGTGAGAAAGTCAGTAAGTTAGGAGTTGTTGTTGTTGTTGTTGTTATGTGCCTTCGAGTCGGCCCCGACTCATAGCAACCCCTCTTTGGGTTTCTGAGGCAGTATCACTAAGGAAGTAGGATTGCCCAACCTTATAAATTTCTACTGGGCCAAATTCTTTAAATTGACTTCTAGTTAGCAAATTATAAAAAGGAGAAAATTTGCCATTACAAAAATCAAACCTACTTACCATTAAAACCATTATTTTTTCAAAAAGCATCTGTTAAGAACCCATAAGGCATGATAAAGTAAAACATGAATGATTATTCCCATTCATTCACATGGGAAAGAGAAAATAGACTTAGGGGAAAAAAAAAGTACTATGAAATTTAGTGAAGATTGACAGTGCTGGGACAGCATATAAAAAAAGATGGAGCCTTTCCAGAAATCTCCTGACTCTGGTCAATCCATCTTTTCCATTCTACCCAAGTTTTAAACCCTGAGACAAAGGATCAGCTACAATATAGTTCCAGTCTAAGGGCAAGGTGGACTGTGGTAAACTAGAAAGAAATCTATGCAGTAGCATTTTTGGATAGCATAGAAAGATGTCTGTATTCATTATCTTATTTAGACTTTATAACAAACTGCTTGGAATGTCCTTTCTGCCAATGTTTGCTTAACTAGCCCTTCCTTATTTACGCTTCAATGTTAACATTACCTCTTTAGAGAGGCCATCCCTGACCCCAATCACTATCACATCACCTTATTTTATTTTCTTCATACTGTTCATTTCTGTTATTTATTGTTTGTTTTTCCCACAAATGTATATATAAAAGCAGGAACTTTGTCCTACATCCCTGTATTCTCAGGCACTCAGTCAATGTTCGTAATAATACATCTCACTGTTCTAAACTGCACATATGCATGCCATAATTTTTTGTGAAAACCAAATAAAATAATAATGCAAAAGCACTTTTTAAATTGGAAGGCCAGAGAGAATTCTAAAGCAGCATTATTATGAAGCTAATGAAATAACAATCTGACTTGCAAATCCAAGCTCTAATGATACTTTACCATCATCACAACTTTCGTTATCCTCAGGATTGCTTTCACTGTCTGCTTCATAACCTTCTTCTTCAATCAAAAGTTTTAAACTATAGCCCTGAGAGTTCTCAGCTTCTTCTGAAAAATAGCCAGGCTGGGATGACAATTCTTCTTCAGACTGGTGGTTCTACAAGATCAACATAATTCAAAGGTGAACATTACAATATTCGCTAATTTTTACTAACAGAATATTTATTACTCAAAAGTCATTTTAAGGACATCACCAGCTGCTCCATGGAAGAAAAATGCAGTAGTCTGTTTCCTTAAGATTTACAACTTTGGAAACCCAGTAAGAGTTGCTATGAGTCAGTGATAGCAACTAATAGCAACTGATGGCAATGCATTAGATTTTAGTTTAGGCAGCATTTTAAGATAAAAATCTTAATAATTGATATTATCCATTACTAATTAAGAAATACACTCAGAAAAATTTCTAAGAACCTCTCATTCTCAGACAACTTGATTAACACCTCAGAAAAGGAGGTTTCTAAATGATCAAACTATAGGTCATTTCAGTTTTACTGAAAAATAAATTGAGGAAATTTCATTGTAGTTATACAATAGGAAATGACTACACACCACAATGAGGTGGAATTATACTTCACACTAGTTAATGCTGGTATATATATTTCTACACATTATAGAAAATATTTTTCTCACAGAATTTTTATAAATAAAATATTTCATAAATTAGATAACCAGACAAGATGTGAAAAATTTCAAAAACATTAGAGATCTCACAATGTAATTTTCTAAATACAAACATCTCAGAAATCACAAGAGTTCCAGCATTAACTTCGTATGTAATATTCTGTAGCATGAATTTTTCCTCTTCTTATAATAATGTTACTAAAACTTTCACATCAGAAAACATTTTACTTAAACAGGTTCACAGTACTTTATCATTGCAACATCAGTAAAAGACAGAGTAAAGTAAATACTTTAACTTTTACCAGTTACCCAGCTGATTCAGTAATATGATAAAGGTATTAGTAGCTATTAATATAATAGTAAGTTTTTATGTTACAACAAACAGCAACATAAAATATGATGGCAACACATTACAAAACATATGGCTAGATCAAGGAATAAAAGAGAAGTTATATAAAGATAAAGGACAGTTCACAATTAATTAAAGGTAAAAGATATAAGAAAGGAGAGGGAAATGAACTAAATATATACCTCAAGGTTTTGGGGAAAAATAATAATTCTTTATAAAAAGTGCAACACAAACAACTAAAAAACTATGACTGCTATTTTCTTTAAAAGTACTAGTCATTTTTATTTTGAGTGGTTTAAAATTAGAAAACACTGAAAATATTAGCTAGATAAGATAGCTTAGTCCTCACTAGTCCTGAATTATCATTTAATAAATCAGTTATGTGAAGACTTATCCAATCAAAGAATACATTTGTCTTGCTTAGTAACTTTCCAAATTAGTCAAAGAAAATCATGTCATATTATTCTCCTATTGAACCTAGGGCACTGACTAAATGCCCTAAATGATGCAGACATGGCCCAAACAATTCACCTAATTAAATCCTGGTCCATATATTCTAGTCACATTCATCAGTGTCCTTATCCCATTCCACATACTCCACCTCTGTTAGTCATACCCAAATAACAGGCTTGCCCCCAGTATCTATAAGTACTCATACCTTCTCAGTCATAGCATCATTATGTTCAAAATCTGCTGAGTGATTCCCCAGGGCAACTTGAAGCAAGGCATCAAATAAAGGCTTTGCTAATTCTGTTTCAATCACCTTTGACTGGGAAAGATGGTCCCTCATTTCAAGTAATATATTTTCCACAGACAAGTTCTAAGGTAAAATAAAAGAGACTAAGAATATTAATAATATGGTTTTTTTCAAACAATTACACAATGATACAATGATAAATTATTATTTACAAGTAGAAAGGTTAGTCCACTTATCTGCAGTTGGTATGAAAATAAAATGTATAAATGTCTTCTACAAACATGTTGTAATTCGTAAGTTTTTTGTCAAATATTATCTGATTTTGAATTTCAATATACCTTAGATAAAAGAAACTGTCTATAAAATTAATTTCATCACAAAAAAAAAATGATCCCTTGAAACATCAGAGAGTTTTGATTAACCATCTCTAGATCTCACAAATTCTTTTCATTCCCTTCCCTCTTAACCTTGAAGGGAGCTTTTGCTGCTTGCCTAAATCCCTTTGCCAGGTGATGAGAGCATAAAGATGGGTAAGAAATTGACTTCTCTCTAAGGAATTCTTGGTAAAATGTGATGAACAGATACATACAGACAAGACAGTATGTTTACAATATTAGTGATATAAACAAAGATCTCTGTGAATAGAAAAGGGAGAAGGTACCTGAGAGACCTATCAGAAGTGTCCCAGAGGAAGGGTTGTATGAGATGGACAATGAAGAACAAGTAGGAAACAGAAGATGGTCAAACAAGCCGGAGAGCATGGACAAAAGTACATGGCACAGAATGGCACCTTGAGAACCTGTCTTCATCTCAGTATGGAAGATTGTAGCATGGTGGGGGATAGTAGGAAATGAGGCTAAACAAGGAAATGAAAGAAAGACCATGAAGGGGGTTGTACACTATGTTAAGGAGTATGGATTTCAACTGTGAGCAGCATGGAGGCATCACAATTTTTTAGGCAGGAGCCAATGTGGAGACCGAAACTAGAGTAGGGAGAGGCTGTTGACTGAGAGAACAGTTAGGGGTAAGTTAGTAAGAATGGAAGAGGTCTGCCACATTCAAAGGTCTCTGAAAAGCAGGACCTGAGACTGGGGATTCCTATCCAAGTGATTTATTGTTGAGATGCATTGTCAGGAAAATTTCTAAGAATACGAGGAAAGCACAACAGATCAGGGGAAGAAGCTAGATAAAGATGTGGTTTGAGGAAAAGACTAGACTTAGCCTAATCCCATACAAACCTGTAGGGCCTGTAACATTCCGTAGAAACTGTCCCCTGGCCCCCAAGCCACATTCATCAGCCTCTGCCTATGGGCATCCTTCCCAGGCATTTCTGGGTGGGGTGTCTTCCCTAGGCCAAGGGCAATTCTCTAGAGACAGGTGGAGATGTAAGCCCTTAGCAGCCAACATGTGGAGGAGCTGGGGATGGGTGTCTCTGCTCGATAAATGGGATGGGAAGGGCACTCACTAGCATCATACTCAGATTATGAACTTTGAAGTTTGAAACACAATATCCATTAATATTCATCTGACACATAATGCATAACTAATGCCTTTTAGGGGTGGTGACTTTTGCACATGAGAGTTTTGCATTCCCAACTATAAATGATAAACTTCTTGAGATTAAGAACTGGGTCATATTCTCTTGTGTGCCCTCCACAGTGGCAGGTGCTATGCTAAGTCTATAAGAGTTTCTCAAAACTTAAAATCTTTGGAAAAAAAGAACAATAATAGTTTTATGCTAAAACTTTCAAAAATACATACTATACAATAGCTGGACTAAAGATAAAGTATTACCTGATTTGGTAACTCGAATTCCATTTTTTGTTGACTAGTCCTGGCACTATGAAGACAAATGACCAAAAAGGCTTCCAAAAGTCGTATGATCTGAAGTGAGGTCTCACTTTCTTGACTCATAAATAGTTTTGCTTCCTCGGGAGTAGCTTCAGTGGCTAGAATTTGTTCCGTATTTGTGGGAGAAATATGCTGTGACTCTAATTTACCTAAACCATCAGTACTCTTTTTAAGACTACTCAGTTCTGATGAAGTTGAAGATAATAAATCTTCCTTCATAGCTATCTCAGATTGAGAAATTCTGCTTAAATCTTGGCTTTCATTTACATTTATACTTTCCTGCCTTTTTTCTTGCCCATCTTCATGACTTCTGAATAGTTTCTGTATTATCATAAATATTAATTTATGGCACAATTGGAAGCCACCCAGCCTATAAAACTGCTTCTGAAAGACTGAACTCAACATGTAGATCCTGCAGCACACTGACCAAATGTCCGCTGCTTGGTGCATATGTTCAAGCGAAGGCAAGGCCAGGTTCTCAAGAGATAACGATGGCAGCATATGACTCAAAGGCTCACCTGCTGTGCTATCATATTCAGAAGTATCTTCTGAGTCATTGGCAGAATCCCTATCAGATTCTGCTTCTTTACTCACACATAAAAATGCCACACAGAGAAATAGGTTTATTATGTTGATATGAACATCCTGATTCACAGTTTTCCACTTCTTTAGGCAAGCATCTTTGAGCCCAGTATAAAATTTGCTGAGACTCTGAGGAGAATCCGAATAAACTTGCTGGTTATGAAAAGAAGTGCCTACATTTAAAGATGACAACTCTTTCTGTTCACTGTCTAGCCCATCAGTATTTGGAATTGAAACATCCTTCTGTAGTTCCCCTAGGCTGATTATCAGAGTTTCAAATGCTTTTAGGGAAAGACTTCGAATACCATCTAAGTAATTTAATTCAATTATTTGATTTACTCCATTACAATTTAAAAACAAATCTCTTATTACTCTGTGAGAGAGAGAGAGAAAAAAAAATATATTTTACATGTAGAAACACTTATAAATAGGTATATTTGCTATTCCAATATCATTACTGCATGTGGTACATACTAAGCACTACCTAATTTGATTAATCAATTATCTAGCTCAAGTTATTAGATATGACCAGAACCTCTATTTACTTTTCATATCCTTCTTCAAACACTGCATATATATTTACGGCTACTAACAGCATTTAAAAAGAAAGGATTACATGTGTCCCAAATTAAAGCAATTTACAGAAGAATATTTTTCTCCAAACAGCAAATTCTACATAAACTTTAAATGCCACAATTATCACCACATTTGTTTGTTTGTTTGCCTCATTCAGAACTTTCTGCTAGTTTCACATGTGCACCTCATAAAGAGAAAGAACAAAATTACAGAGCTGAAGATGATGATCAGCTCTGTCACAGGTTGAGACTCACTGAACTCATAAAATTCTAATAGTAACTTTAATATAAATCAGTTCAGTTATTCTCAGTCCTTATTTTACAAACATCTAGATTATCCACAAATATACCAAGGAGTTACCAAACTTTCAAATCAAATTCAGTCCTATTTAAACAAATAATATCTGGTATATATATAAAAAAAAAATTATAAGACAATGATTTAACATTAACACATCATTTTTAATGTAGTTGTATTAAGATTGACAGATAATACCACAAACGAAGATGATGATATTTTATCTTTTAATATAAGTTTTTTAAATGGCACCTGCATTAGTTGAAAGGTCAGACAGTTAATCAAAAGCAAGTTTTATTTATAAAATCATATTTTAAAGGTACTGAATTTAATAATTATAAAATTTAGAAACTCACTGGTGGAATTATTGGCAATATTGATCTTTTTGTTTGTCTGTATTTTCCAATTTTTCTACATATATTGCTTAGGTGTAATAATCCATTTAATTCCACTGCCTCGATAAATTATCATTTTATATATGTGCATATTTTACGTAGTTGTAAATAAAGGTAGCACATTTAAAATGTCTTTTTACCCATGAATTATTATAAACATATTCTTATGTTCCAACATAATCATTGTAACTATTATTTTTAATAGCTAAAAATAATATTCTATCAAGTAAAAATAATTTACTTAACCTTTCCCACTGTTGGATATCTGTGTTGCTTCCATTTTTTTTTCCTCAGAATGTATTTAAAACTTGACTTTTTTTCACTAGGAAATTAAACTTCTTTAACTACCCCAGTAAAAACAGATGGAAAGGAAGACAGACTGATAGACAGACAGATAGAGAGACAGTTAAAAGAATACATATTCTGACAATGGGAGATCTGAAAATAGGAACTTTTTTGTTGTTAAATTAAAATTAAATTCTAGGAAGGAATGAAAACAGTTACACTAATGATGAGGCCCTGGAGTTAAAAAGGTTAGTTCAAATGTATATACTTTATCACACACCCAAAAACATCCAATAAGAAAATACAAACACACACATACAAACCTGGATTTAAGCAGGGTAGGCAGAGCTTTTAAGTAAATGTGAAGTACCTCCTGAGGCAAACATTGGCTGTGATGGCTACATACTTGAGTTCGAGCTGACGTATTGCTTAGGCGTTGACAGTGATGGGCTAATTCAACTGCTCTTTGGAGCATGGGATTAAATAAGTAAGTATACAATTTCCACTGTACAACTACATTGCCTTTCTGGATTAAATTGCAAATGTGATTTGCAATCTGTAGGCTATGCAATCTGTCTTCTTCAAAAACAAAGTTCTGATAAGCCACTAAAGCATCCCATTTCCACAACAAATCTTCAGACCCACTGCTGGGCACGATCCCTTGGAATTTGTAAGAAGGACTGGAAAAACTTGATAAAGGTTCAGCATCACATGCGTTTCCCTCTAATGTCTCTTCTAACTTGGCCAGATGATCAGAGTCAACCGTACAAATATTGCAAGCTGCTTTCTTAATTTTTTGTGTTATCTCTGCTCCTCCTAACTGATCCAAAATAAGTTTGTTAAGAATATTTAGTATATGCTGCTGAAAATTTTTCAGTGCTGGCAATTTAAAAGCATGGAGCAAAGGAATGATAACAGATTTGGGATCCATACAACAGCATATTCCAACACTATGAATACCTGATAGAATCTGGACACAAGTACTAGTTAAGGACACCTGTTGCAGTAAGCGTAAGCACTGATGAGCACACACTGCAATACAACAGCATCGCTCAGGATAATAAATATCTCCATCTTTAGTCTGTTCAAGTGAGTTTTTCAAAACCTGGTTTTTAAAAGCTGAAACCAGAAGACCTGAAAGATCTCTGTGGTGATGCATGAGGTGAGAGTATTCACAGCGTCTGTGCCTTTTTCTTGTACACACTGAATGATGAAGTTGCTCTGATTTCACTTTTTTGACAGTGCTTATTATTTTCATCACATCATTTATTAAGGCTTCCAAGTGTTCTGAGGCCTCAGGAGGGACTCCATCTCTTAAAACCAGTGATTCCATTTGAAGAACTGCTGTTTCAAATAAATTAAATCCATAATGTTGAATGAATTCTTGAACCAAATCCATGGCTTGACTGAAGTAGAAGGGATTTGAAGCTGCACTTTGAAGACAACAAATCAAAATCTGTAGAACTCCGTCCAGAAGCTCAGGCAACAGAAGGGCTCTATGACGATACTTTGAAAACACAAAATCTTCCTGAACCTCCTGTAGTGTCTTCTTTTGTCTTGGTGCAAAAGGATCAGGCTGTTTTTCCAGGCAAGTTCTAATTTTTAAACCTGCCCTAAGTAATTCAGTTAAATTTTTTCTAAGACTTTCTGGCATCATCTCTGCAATACTAATATCTACTGACATAAGATGAAGCACTGTTCGAAACAGCATCCGTTGAATCAAAGCCACTGGTTCTTCAGTCCAACCTGCAGAAACCACTTGATTCTCTAAATTGTTGCTTAGATTATAACAGTCCCCGAAGCCTGCTAGGAATTCAGTCAATGTGGGCACTACACTGGCTGCTAGTGCAGAATTATGATTCAAAATTATGTCAAATTTACAAACTTTCTCTAATAAAGATAATAAAACATGGCATAAGTCAAATGGAGAATTGTTCTTGTTACTGATAATACACAAGGCAGCTGGCTCACTTAAAATGTCAGTGTTTGACTCCTGTCTTGGAATAACTTCTCTGTAATTTTCTAGAGCCATGGTATCAGGAGGAGTCTGTTCTTCTTTGGTTGCTAACTGGTCAACTTTAGCTGTAAGGTGGTCTTCTTTAGGAGAATGTGCTACAAAATGCTGTGGCAGATGGGGCCTCCGTTGCTTATTCATTGCTATACTTTTTTCGTCTGAATTAGCTTCTGAATCTGAAGTGGAGAGCTGTGTCTTTCTTGCATCTCTTACAGAATAGCGATGGGTAATTTTACGCTGTCGTTTACTTTTTTGAAAGATGTTTACTTTTGCAGAAACCTGATCAGATGGAGTACTTCCTTCCAAGTATAATTTGTCCTGAATAGATTTTTGGGAACTTGAGTTCTTTTCTTTGATTGGGAGTATATCAACTGAGAGTGGTAGATTAAAATCTAATAAAAGAAAGAAAGAAAACTTAGAATTCCTCAATATATTTTAAAATTCCATTTGTACAGGTGATTATGCCTTTAGTTATCACCCACTTTGGGAGTTTATAAGGAGCTCTGGTAGCACAGTGACTACGGCATCTGACAGCTAACCAGAAGGTTGATAGTTCAAATCCACCAGCCACTCCGCAGAAGCAAGACTGGGCAATCTACTTCCGTAAAGATTTACCACCTTGGAAAACAAATGGGGTCAGTATGATTCGGAATCAACTCAATGGCAGTGGGTTTGGTTTTTGGTTTGGGTTGGGAGATTATCCTCAGAATATTATTACTTTAAGGCCAATTTTCTTTAGCTATTTGTTATGTCTCTGGGTCAATTTTCTCCTATTTTCTCCTTCTCCCTCTAAACAATAGGTGGCATAAGCTAAAGAATACAAGATAGTTTGGAAAACAGAACTAGGAAAGTAAATCTGATTTAAAACCATCTCTTGTGCTCTCACTCCAACATAAAAGACTCTTTAATGTTATCTGATACATCACAATTTTGTCCATACTATTATAAAACAGTATAAATTAATTAAATTAAAGGGGTAAATTATATTCTCAAACATAGCAGTTAGTTTATAACCCTACAGTAATCTGAGAACTTTAAGATTTTCCAAAATTATTTCAAAAGCACACAATATATACCAAATTTTATCCAAAATTGAGGGTAGAAGACTTCTTTCAAAACATTTCATGATCACTATGTGTCATGCACTAAACTAGGGACCAGGCACAGACACTAGTGTTTCCTCCTCGATGCCTAGAATGAGGCCTAATGTGGTCAGCATTTAGGAACTATTTCTTTTGGGAAGACTGAATACTCTTCACTAATTAAAAATATATTGAAATTGGTCTTTCCCTCTGCAATATGATGTATATATATGGAAACAATGCTGCAATTCAGAGTAACTAAATAAAAAATTGGAAATAAAAGGTTTGTGATTTAATTAACAGAAGAACAAAGTGAATAAGGAGGAGGTAAATTAAAAGGTGACTGATACATGTGTATGATACCTTCCACCTAAATTAAAAAGGTAGACAACACAATTTCTTCAAAGGAACACTAATTAGATTTCTTAAGTGATTAACAATTTGTGAATTCTACAAATTCAGAAGAAAAAATAACAGCAGGGTTTGTGAATCAACAAATAAATGGATATAAACTTATGGTAAGATGGCAGAAATAGTAAGACAAGCTACACAGACCCTCTTCAACAAAGAAGAGAGAAACCAGTTGACACATATAAAGAATATAATCCTGGAGCCTTAAGCTTTGAAATGAAGGATAGAGAAATAGATTAAACACCAACTAGTAAAAGAACCCCACCACTTGTCTGTCAGTTTGTCACACTGTGGTGGCTTGCGTGTTTCTGTGAGGCTGGAGGCTATGCCACTGGTATTTGAAATATCAGCAGGGTCACCCACGGTAGCAATGTTTCAGCGGAGCTTCCAGACTAAGACAGACTCGGAAGGGGTCATCCACTTCTCAAAGAATTGGCCAGTGAAAAACTTATGAATAACAGTGAAACACTGTCTGATATATTACTGGAAAACTTTATGAACAGCCCTGAAACACTGTCTGATAATAGTGTCAGAAGATGAGCCCCTCATGTCAGATGACACTCAAAATGCAACTAGGGAGGAGCTGCTTCCTCAGAGTAGAGCCAACTTAAGTGATGTGAATGGAGTAAAACTTTCAGGACCTCCATTTGCTGATGTGGCACAACTCAAAATGAGAAGAAACAGCTGCAAACATCCACTAATAACTGGAACATGAGATGTATGAAATATGAATCTGAGAAAATTGGAAGTTGTCAAAAAATGACATGGAATGCATAAAGATTGATATCCTAGGCATTAATGAGCTGAAATGGACTGGTTTTGGCCATTCTGAATCAGACAACCACATGATCTACTATGCCAGGAATGACAAATTGAAGAGGAATGGCATGGCATTCATCGTTACAAAAAATGTTTCAAGATCTATCCTGAAATACAAAGACCTGTCAATAATACTGTTGTTCAAATTTATGCATCAACCACCAAAGCCAAAGATGAAGAAACAGAAGATTTCTACCAACTTCTGTGCTCTGAAATTGATCAAACACACCATGAACATGTGTTGATTCTTACTGGTGATTGCAATGCAAAAGTTGGAAACAAAGAACAATCACTGGTAGTCGAAAAATATGGCTTTGGTGATAAAAATAACACTGGAGATTGCATGACAGAATTTTGTAAGATCAACGACTTGTTCATTGCAAATACCTTTTTTCAACAGCATGAACACAAGCTACACACAAGGACTTTGCCAGATGGAGTACACAGGAATCAGACTGACTACATCTGTGGAAAGAGGTGATGAAGAAGCTCAATATCTTCAGCCAGAACAAGGTGAGGAACTGACTACAGAACAGACCATCTATTACTCATATGCAAGTTGAAGTTAAAGCTGAAGACAATTAAAATAGGTCCACAAGACCCAAAATATGATCTTGGTTATTCTCTCCTGAGATTAGAGACCATCTAAAGAAAGATTTGATGCATTGAACACCAATGACGAAAACCAGAGGAATAATGGGATGACTGTTCGGTTTGAACGACAGCCTCCTGATCTATGTACATGTTTCTCATGAGCACAATTCTGTGTTTCTGGAACTCCCATTCTTCTCAATGTTATCTCTAATGTGTTATGATCCACATAATTGAATGCTTTTGCATAGTCAATAAAACACAAGTACTACACTAGGCAAATCTGCTGCAAAATACCTCCTTTCAAGCGCTGAAGAGTAAAGATGTCTCCCTGAAGATTAAGGTGTGCTTAACCCATGCCAAGGTATTTTCAGTCACCTCATATGCATGTGAGAGCTGGACAATGAATAAGGAAGACTGACAAGGAGTTGATGCTTTAGAGTTGTGGTGCTGGCAAAGAATATCAAAAGTAGCATGGATTGCCAAAAGAACTAACAAGTCTGTCCTGGGAGAAGTGCAGCTGGAATGCTCCTTGGAAACAAGAATGGCCAGACTTTGTCTTACCTACTATGGTCATGTTGCCAGAAGGGACAATTGCCTAGAGAAGGATATCATGCTTGGTAAAGTGTGGGTCAACAAAAAAGGGGAAGGCCCTCAACAAGGTAGAATGACACAGTGGCTGCAATGCAACTCTGGTATAGCTGGGACTGTGAGTCTGGCACAGGACTGGGCAGTGTTTCATTCTCTCATACGTAGGGTCTCTATGAGTCGGAGACAACTTGATGGCACCTAATAACAACAACAACAGCAGAAGCTGAAGGAAAACAGTGAGTAAGGAGACAAACAGAGCTGTGGGCTGTCAGCTATCCTAATGGTATGAACAGCCTGAATATTGCCATAAAGTGTTAGGACCTGAGAATTAACCTAAAATTTGGCCCTGCTCACCAAGGGCTGCATGGACAACTGTGCCGGTGGCTGATGATTAGAAAAGGAAAAAGCAAAGAAGGAGACAAACTGAGCTGTGGACTTTTGGCTATCTGGAGGGCCAGCTATTTTGAATATTTACAAATGGAGGCCATTTTTGAATTTTAAAGTGACAGCATTCTCCTTTGGATTACAGAGACCTAAGAATAGGCTCTGCTTGCCAAAGACAGCATGGACATATGGGAGGCTGATGACTGGAAAGGAGACAGGTAGTGAGTGTGTAAGTGCTGCCAATAGGGAAAAGAAGAACACAGTATCCTGCTTACTCAGACATATCCAAACAAAGGAAAGAAAATGAAAGTCTTGGGAGAAAACTGTTGAAGATTTGTTGGAAGAGAATTTCCCTGACATGATGAAGGACAAGAATATATCCATTCAAGAAGTCCAATGAACCCCAAACAGGATAGAACCTGAAAGAAAATCACCAAGATTTATCATCATCAAACTCACCAAAAACAAAGACAAAGAAGGAATCCTGAAAGCAGCATGGGAAAAACGAAGTTACCTACAAAGGGCAACCAATAAGACTAAGCTCCAATTTCTAAGCAGAAACCATACAGGTGAGAAGGCAATGGGATGATATATACAAAAACCCTGAAAGAAAAAAATTTTCAACTAAGGATCATATACCCAGCAAGACAGTGCCTCATATATGATGGTGAAATTAGGACATCTCCAGATAAACAGAAATTAAGGCATTTTGTTAAAACCAGACCAACGTTGTAAGAGATGCTAAAGGGAGTACTTTGGAGAAAGAACCAACAATAGCAAACAACTGACCATTAACACACAAGATGACATAACCCAGAAACCAATCCAGTTATGGAAGTATTCAAAGTAAATGAGCTTACAAGATTGTAAACAGGAAACCAGAGACATCAATTGGAAAATGAGGACAACCACAAACCAAAAAGAAGGCAAAAAGTGTGTATATACAGAACTTTTAAAGGGTGAGGATGTCAAGATAATTGCAGGATAGAATGGACTGTTCTAAACTTGGAGAAAATTATAAATCACAGGATAACCTCAAAGAAAACGATAAACATTCACGTCAAAATTTAAAAAAGGACAAGGATTTCCAACAAGATGGTGGAATAGGCAGACAAACTATACAGATCCTCTTCAACAAAGAAAAGGGGAACCAATTAACATAGATACAGAAGATAATCCTGGCCCTGAGGTTTGAAAGGAAGGATACAGAAATGGACTAAGAACCTGCATGAAAACACCAAAGAAGGAGACATACAGAGCTGTGGTCTGTCAGCAATCCTGATGGCATGGACAGCTTGGATATTGCCAAGTAGTGTTAGGACCTAAGAATTAACCTAAAAATTGGCCATGCTAGCCAGGGGCTGCACAGAGGACTGCACTGGTGGCTGGTGAATAAAAGGGGAAGCAGCAAAGAGGGAGATGGGCTGAGCTATGGACTTTTGGCTGTACACAGGGCACAGCCATTCTCAATGTTTACAAGCTGTTCCACCATTCTGGATATTTAAAGTGACAAT